TGGGCTGGTGGAAGGGGTCCCTGCCCATGGCAAGGGCTTGGAACTGGATGGTCTGTAAGGTCCCTTCCAACCCAAAGCCTTCTGAGATTCTATGACACAGGGGTCTGGCTTGGGGAGGGTGGGCCTGGCGCAGGATGGGGGGGGTCATCCTTCACCATGTCCCTGGTTTGTCATCCCCACCTCCAAGGTGTCTTGGTGGGAACGAGTTCCTGCAGCTCCTCCCGCCACCAACGCTGCAGGCGAAGGAGACCCAGGTGGGTGTTGCAGCCAGGGTGACACCAGGTCTCTCTGTCCTCCTCAACCTGGTGTCTTCCGAGACCGGGCTGCTCTGTGCTGGGCTTCCCACGCTGTTACCTGGTCTCTGCTGCTCTGAGAAGGGCTCGGCCGGGTTTTGAGCAGCTTTGGTGGGAAGGTAAAGCACAAAAGTCACCCAGCTGCTGTCTGGTTGAGGTGGTTGGCACGCCGGTCGTGTCATCCCGCTGCTCTGCGGGCAGCTTGTGCTATGCAAACTTCAGAAGCGTGAATGAAAGCGTTTGATGGGGAAATGGGGCAGAGGAGGACGCCAAGGTGAAGGTAGAAGGGACTTGCTGAGATGCCCGAGCCTGGGGGCCACGCTGCTGAAGAGCGAGGTTGGCCCTTGGGTTGGGTGTCCTCTACGTGCAAGTGGAAGGTGATGTTTGGTCACTGGGCAAGCAGAAAGCTCCTGACAGATGGCAACGAAACCAGGCAGAGCTCTTGGCAGGAGCTTTCTCCAGGATTGTTTTTTCCTTCTAATTATTTTGGGATGTCTCAGTCCTGTAGCTCCTGTTGAAATAAGCATGACAGGACGGACAAGAGCTTTACCAAGCGAGAGTGCATCTCATGTCTCTGTCTTCTTTCGTGGTGACCGACCGCACCAAGTTGTGCACCGTGAAGTGTAAAGAGATGACTTTGCTTCTGATTCCTAGGCTCTGTGTCCAGAAAGAGATTTCAAGGTGGAATGTGGTGGATTTTCAAACCGCCCGGTGTACAGCCTGAAACACGTGCCGGACACCAGGTACAGCCACGGGATCCTTCCAGGGTGGATTGGTGATGGAGAAGGGGCTTGTCTGCTGAGAGCCAGCTCCTTTTCCTTGCCTGCTTCCCAACCCAGCTGGTCAGTCCTGCCAGCTCAGACAGCAGCGTGAGAACCCTGTCGTGGTGCTTGGAGTAGAGCTGTCTATTGGGGCTTGTTCAGCCTGGAGAAGAGAAGGCTGCGAGGGGACCTTATGAATGCCTACACATATCTGAAGGGTGGGTGTCAGGAGGATAGGGGCCAAGCTCTTTTCAGTGGTGCCCAGTGACAGGACAAGGGGCAATGGGCACAAACTGAGGCACAGGAAGTTCCGTCTGAACATGAGGAAGAACTTCTTCCCTCTGAGGGTGACGGAGCACTGGAACAGGCTGCCCAGGGAGGTTGTGGAGTCTCCTTCTCTGGAGATATTCAAGCCCCGCCTGGACAAGATCCTGTGCAGCCTACTGTAGGTGACCCTGCTTCGGCAGGGGGGTTGGACTAGATGACCCACAGAGGTCCCTTCCAAACCCTACCATTCTGTGATTCTGTGATTCTGTGATTCTGTG